GTTAGTTCTGAGTGTCCCTTGTGTCGCTGGGGAGACACCTGATTCTTATTGTAAATTAACTTTAAGACTGTCTGAACCAAGTGTTGTTGTATTTTGATATTAGTTTCAATTATGTTCGATCTTTGTCAAGTATCTGACGTATGTTCTTTATAGTTAATTGAATAGTAGAGAATGTATATTTGTAAATACGTTCATTGTAATTATTACATATTCCTTAGTGAACTTAACTGTTTATCATGATCTTATATATATTTTCCAAATAACTTACATTTTAGAAGAGTTTAAGAATTTTATATTAGAATAATACATATATTTAATTATTTCTTGATTTGCTTATATAAACGAAAGAAGATTAAGAATATTCATTATACTTAAGTCTTATTACGATTACATTATTATTATTATTACAATCAAGGGGGAAGCGCTAAACCCGGAGGATTATACAGCGCCTGGGGGGGGGATGTGGAAGGCATTCAGGCTTAATTTGGGGAACTGGAGCACAGATCCAATTCCCTAAATCAAGAGCCCCTCACCAACATCAAGGAACCTTCCTTGAGGGGATTACGATTACAACAGGGAAAGTTATTACTATCAGGAGATATAAAATATATCCTTCGAATGTTATATATATATAAGTAGTACTGGTTTCTTCTGAGCGCCGTATGGGGCTGAGCGGTCTCCTTTCCTGAGCGGTCTCCTTCCACGCCCGCGCCGACCCGCAACCTTGACCTCACCCTCGACCACCCCCCCCTCATCCACTCCCCCCACTCACGCCCCCCCTGCGCCCCCACCCGCCCCGCGCCCGCACGCCCGCCCGACCGGGCCCTGCCTGCCGCGCCTGCCCGCGCCTTCTGCAGCTCCTTCTGCAGCGTCGTCCGGATCGCCCCCGCTCCCCGAATTTTTTTCCGATTTTCGATTTTTTTTTTTTTAATTTTCTTGTCTCTCCATTTCCTCGGATCAAATTTTTTGGGTTTCCCCCTATGGGTACCCCTCCCTCCACCCACTTCCATCCCAAAATTCCTGCTCTACTTCCTTGGATCAAGTTTTCCTCGATATCAATAATACAAAGACTCCATCTCCCTGGATCAAGTTTTTTGGATTCCCCCTTCTAGGGGTAAGCATTCAAAATGGACTCCCACTTGCATCCCAAATTCCCTGCTCCAATTCCTCGGATCAGCACCCTCCCACCATCCACTTCTACCCTCTATGTCCAAGTATTTCTCCTCCATCTCCTTGGATCAAGTTTTTTGGATTCCCCCCTCTGGGGGTAAGTAATTCAAATGAACTCTCCCTATGGGGCATGGTACTTTCTCTTACTACAGGTCTAAACAAGTGTGACGTCACCCCACCTGTGTTTACTCGGCGGTCAGTGACGTCACGTGATGACCTCACACACAGGCTGAATCTTGTCGAGCAGACAATAACTTAAAATTAACTTAAATAAAGTAACATAGGATAACACTAATATTTTCCATTTTAAAGTATTACATTCTCTTCATTACATGAAGTCTCAGTATTATGTATTTCATATACAACATAGGGAAAACATTACACATTTTCACTCTTAACCAAGGATAACCCAAATAATTTCACATTTTTTTTTTCGTTAATACCCACAACAATCCACAATTTCTTTACAAAATGCAACAAAAGATTCACTCTCCAAGTCTAGACATTTTTCTCGTTTTAACTATTTCATCAGAAAAAAGTCTGGCGAATCTTATCTGACCGATCTCAGATAACATCTCAGGTCACTCCCCACAAAGTAACCTTCTCTCTCCCCTTACCCCTTCTACCCACCCCCTAAACCCTCACTCTCCCACCAGCATCTCGCAACAAGACAATTTTCACTCATATCACACAATTTTTTCTCCTTTTAACTATTTCATCAAAAAAAGTCACCACAACACTTACAACTTATATCCACTTTTCGATAAATTCACTAGTCACATTTTTACATATTACGAAGTTAATACAACACACACACACACACACACACACACACACACACACACACACCACACTTTACTTTGAACACCAAAAACACCATCAATTACCTTTGAATATTCAAAAACATCATTCGAACACAGCCAAATCACCACTGAATACTCCCAGAACATCTTCATAAATACTCTTGCACATCATTTGAACACCTTCAAAAACACCTTTGAATAGTCTCAAACACCATTTGAGTACTCCCAAATACACCACTGAATACTACTAAAACACCACTGAATACAGTCAAATCACCACCAAAATCACTCTAAACTAAGACCAACATCACAGACTAACACCCATTTTCACACAGATCCCCTCAAATCACTATAACCAAGACGATTTCCAATTTCTATGAGTAGACTCACCTCCAACTAAGATATAACATGAGCACAAAAAAAACATGAACACAAACCAAACACACACGAACACTTACAACAGATTCACCTCTTTTTCGGTATCGCTAGTCGACAACAACGTCCACAACCCAAAACACCCACAACCCACATCACCACAACAACAACCCACAACTTATAACCACTTTCCGGTATCTCTAGTTCGACAACACCCACAACCCACAACCACACAACACCCACAACACCCAAAACACCCACAAAAAACCCCACAACCCACATCACCCACAACAACAACCCACTTATAACATCTTTTTTGGTATCTCTAGTTCGACAACAATACCCACAACCCTCATCGCCCACAACCTTTATCTCTACAGAACAACCCCCAGATTATTTCGAACACTCTCATAAATCATTTGAATACTCACAAAAAAAAAACTTTGAACGTTTCCAAACACTGAAACACTTCCATAATATAATTTTTGAATAATTTCTTCGCATCCACTCGCCCGTCTTCCAACACACCTCTTCAGAACAAACGCAAAAATCACATTTCACATCCACAAATGCATCTCATCACCCATCTCAAATCCACTAAAATCATTGTATCCAAGATATTCACAAAATTCTATGTCCACCTAACACACACAGACAACTTACTTTACTTTGAACACCTTCAAAACACACTCATACATCATTTGAGACCACCTTTTCTCAATATCTCTTAAGAAATATTCTCTCATCGACAACCTTTATCATCTCACTACAGAACAACCCCAAGATACTTCGAACACCCCTCATAAATCATTTGAATACTCACATAAAAACATTTGAACATTTCCAAGCAACACTGAAACACTTCCAAAATATCATTTTGAATACTCCCAAATAAGATTTGCCATCTCTAATTTATCTACACTTCATATTTCATTAAATTACAACTCATCCACCATACTAAATTCCCTCAGTCTCCAGAATTTAGAACAATTTTCACAAAAACTAACTCATACATTTATGACATGAGACATTTTACCAAAACTAACACAAACACACCCACAACACACCACACTTTACTTTGTACAACACCAAAAACAACATCAATTACCTTTGATTACTCCAAAAACATCATTTGAAAAACATTCAAAACATCAACAAACTCCTTTGAATACTCCCCAAAAAACCACTGAATACTACAAAAACAGCACCGAATACTGCCCAAACACTAAAAATCACCAGAAACTAAGATCAAACACCACCAACTAACACCCATTTTATAGAAATCCCCTCAAATCACTATAACCAAGACGATCCCACTCACCTCAGACTATTATATAACATGAACGTAAAAAAAAAAATTCTCATAAATCATTTGAATACTCACAAAAAAAAAACACCTTTGGACATTTCCAAACAACACCGAAACACTTACAACAGGATCACCACCAACTGAAAACATAACATGTACACACACAAATCTAAGACAACCACCAACAACAAACTCCCATATTCACTTACCTCAAAAATCACTAATATCACAGAAAACACTCATTTTTTTATAAACAATCACTCAAAAAATCATATTTGACAATATCTAAAGGCACTACCACCAACACACGATGTCACACCCCACAGGACCGGCGAGGTCACCTCCAGTGACGTCACACTCCCATCTGTGTTTACTTGGTGGTCAGTAACATCACACGCAACCCACCTTGTTTCAACCTGTTGTACCCACAATATCTAAGAACACTATAACCAAGACGATTACCAGATTTTATGACCCGACCGCTAAGATCACAGAAAACACTCATTTTTATAAACATTCACACAAAAATCACTATCACCAATTCCATATCATGTTCACCATCATCTATCAACACTCATCACCAAGATCACCAAAAATCTAAGATCATGCATCTCAAAACTATGATCACTGAAAACACTTATTTTTTTAAACATTCGCACAAAAATAAGACATACACAAAAATACCAATAACTTCCACCAACATCTATAACATAACATGAGCACTATAACATATCACCATCACCAAAAAAAAAAAATGATACACAGACACCCACAACTTATACATTTCAATCACAAATTTAAGACATGAGACATACACACCAAATCTAAGACATTCACCTCCAACTAAGACATACACCAAAACCTATACTTGACATATTGACAATAAAATAAGACATAAGCACAAAAATTTTTTACCGTGTCATGAGACATTACCAGAACTAAGTCACACACCTCCAACTAATACACAATCACTTTACTAAGTTCATGTTAACTATTCATCAACAAAAAATATTAATACAATTTACCCACCAAATTTATGTTATAATCATCAAAACATATAATCATCAACACATTTTTCTCAAACTAAATATTCATACCACATTTTTTCATTTCTCACCTATGTTACATATCACATCTCTCACCCTCATCATCCCTAAAACATCCTTCCTTATTCATCCGTATATCTCCTAGAGATATTTTATCCCGACGACCCATCATGACACTAGGAGCCAGAGTGTAGTAGGTGGTGTTGGAGTGGTGATGGTTGCTCTGGCTCCTACGTCGTGATGGGTCGTCGGGGTTAAAACATCTCTAGGTGATATACGGATGAATAAGAAAGGATG